TTATTTATCACATATAATAGACTGAGGAAAACAACCCGACCCCCGCAACGACCACGCAGCGCCCGGGCTGCCGCCGTCCACAGCGCCCCCGCGCGCCCGGAGGGAGACGGGCTCGCGCCGGGTGTTGCTGCGCCGCGCGGAGAAGGTGGGGAGTCGGAGGCCCCGGCCTCCCCCTGCTTCGTCATCGCCTCCCCCTGGGCCTCACCACCAGCCCGGGAGGCAAGGCCGTCTTAGGGGCGGGACGTGGAGGCTCTGACCCGAGCACTTCCCCTTATGTTACCGTCTTCTGGCCGGAAGATGTCTCCTTTTTTGGAGGGGCCAGCAGTCCTGACCTTCAAGGCTCTGCATGGCCTGGCCCCGTCTGCGTCGCCCACTCACCTTCCCCGGTGGAGCCACGCTGGCCGGCTCAGTTCCTCTCCTTCGCCTCCCCCCATCCCTTCACTCCTCCTTCTGTCGGGGTTGAGATGACACTCGGAGGCCTCCCCTGACCGCCCACAGTAGGGCCCTCCACCCTCGCCATTGTGCTCCTTCCAGGGCTTGTTTCCTTCATAGCACCCACTGTAACTTGTGATTACATATTACATGGAAATACACATTGATGATCCTAAGGGCTGCCTCACTCACGAGACTATATGCTCCAAGTGGCCGGGGACTGTGTTGATTTGTTCCCATATTCTTCACCCCAGCAAAGGCCTGACCTAACAGGTCCCTCAAACATGTGTGGAATATGGAGAAGGAAAAAACACAACACAGGAAAAGCCATAGCTCCCTTGTGTCCCCCTCCCGAGGCCGGCCCTTGTCCCCACAACCTCCGAGGAAGTGAGTGGTGAGGCCCCTTATTTCTACCTCCTTACTTCTCCTTCTCCTTTCCTCCCTCTGCATTTCCACAGAAAGGGCCAGGATCTGTGCTGGACAGAGGCCGGAGGACTGTCAGCCCTCCCCGCCCCCCCAGCACGGTCCTCCCCTGCTAAGGTGATCCTCTCCGCTCTGCCTCCACCACAAGGTCACAGGACCGGCCCGTGTAAAAACCCCCAGTGCACACAGACATGCATTGGCGCAAAACAACTCTGGGGGGGAAAACCTTTTTAAAGTCTCTGCCGTTTTAGTGTCATGTTTTTGAAACTTCCCCTTCCCCAAGGCTCAGTCTGGGGCCTTCTGAGTGTCAAGTCTTTAAACAACAGTTCTCAATAGCAGTGAGATGGGAGCTCTGAGGGCTCTGCTTGCTCGTATTTCAGTTTCTCCCCTCGCTCAGGAGAGTCCTCATTTTCCTATTGGTTGGCAGTTTTAGGGTGACCCGGCGTGGGTGGGAACAAGAGCCCCTGCCATCTTCCAGAGAGGTCAACAGTCTTCACCCAGGATACCGGGGGCTTCGGGGTGGGAGGGGTCTTCCGAGAATCTCCGTCCACCTGGGAAGCTCTTCTTTCCTGACTGGCTCGCCCTCACTTGTGATCCCTCCTCTCAGCTCAGGACTGTGCTGGCCCAGCCGTCCCCAGGACTCCGGGAGGGCACGCTGCCTGGGCCCAAACTGCAGCAACTGTGGCTCTAGCTTCCGGGGAAGCCTCCAGGGCCCCAGACCCTGCCCTGGCTTCAGTCGGCGCACATCAGTGGCTTTCCAGAGATCTTCAGGTCATCGAAGGGCAAAAGAGCAAAGGGCTGAGAAAGAGAATGGAGAGAAGCAAGATCAGGGTCCAGGGGGGAAAGGCAGTGGTGGGGGAAGGGAGCTGGGGAGACCTATTGGGTCGTTTGCTCCCCATCAACTGACTCTTGGACAGGAGGGAACAAATCTTCCTACTAATCTCCCAAATGGTAATCCCTCTGGGCTAGCAAGAGTCCCGAGGCCTTAGGCAAGTCCTCCCTCTCTAAGAAAATCCCTGAATATCACAGATAAGAAGGACCAAGGAGGTGATCCAGCCCAAGGGTCTAGTTTCTGGGGGGTTGGGGTGGGGGAAGGGTACTCACAAAATATTTTTAATATTTTTTTTACATTGAACACTTAAAAATGGAGACTATACAGAAAATCTAGGTTTCATCTCTCTTAAAACATTCCCAAGACCTGGAAATGCTGGACCATATTCCCCCTCTGCAACTATCTGCTGAAGCTGAATGGAGTGACCCTCGATCAGAGACTCTCTGGCCTCCCACAGGTCTCGCCACCCACTGTACTACATCTGGCCTGCTTCCCTGATCCGCGTTAGCTATAGTCCAAGTTTGGGCTGAGAGAGGGGCAGAAGCTTGCCCAGGATCCCACAGTTGGTGAGTGGCAGAATCATGGATTGCCCCCCAGGATCCTAACTCCGTGGTCGGCAAACCGCGGCTCGCGAGCCACATGCGGCTCTTTGGCCCCTTGAGTGTGGCTCTTCCACAAAAATACCACGTGGGGGCGCGCACATACAGTGCGATTGAAACTTCGTGGCCCACGCGCAGAAGTCGGTATTTTGTAGAAGAGCTGGTATTTTGTGGAAGAGCCACACTCCAGGGGCCAAAGAGCCGCATGTGGCTCGCGAGCCACGGTTTGCCAAGCCGCAGTTTGCCGACCACTGTCCTAACTCCTTGGCGATTTCAGCCATCACAGCTCCTGTCTCTGCTAAGGGTGTGGGAAGGACTGGAGAGCAGAGCTGAGTGTGTGCCTCTTACATCCTCAGCCAGGTCCTGGGGCGTCACATCCTCAGCCAGGTCTTGGGGCGTCTCGTCCTCCACGTTCCTCAGCAGAGAGTCGGCACCTGCTTCTCGCAGGGTGGACGAGATGCTCTTGAGGCCGCGGCCTGCAGCAAGGTGCAGGGGTGTGCACCCATTGAGCATACGGGCATCTACCCGGGCCCCGGCCTGGAGCAGGAACTGTACCAGACTCCGCTCCTGAGTCTCCACAGCCAGGTGCAGCGCAGTCTTCCCACTCGTGCCCTCCTGGAGGAAAATAAGGGTATCTTCCAAGGCCCTCAAGAGGAAGCATGCTGGGTCCAGGCCCCGGGGAAGGTGTGTGCCACCACTTCTGACACTGGGAGTGGACCTGAGGGCTGGACCAGGTGACGGGGCAGACACTGGGCCAGGCAGCACCCTGATTGGCCACCTCACCTGCACATCAATGTCCGCTCCATTTTCAAGAAGCAGTTTCATGAGTGGCTGGTTCCTCTGCAGAGTGGCGATGTGGAGACAGGCCAGACCTAGGATGGAGTGAATGTGGAGGCTGCTAATCTGCATCCACCAACTCTCTCTCCCCCACTCTTCAGGGACCTCCCTAGCCCTCGGCCCCAAGGGACCCACTGCCCACTCAATACCTCTGATCACAGGGCTGTTAAAACCCAAACCCAAAAACCCCCTCAAAAGTCTGAGGGGAAAGGAACGTAAAGTTTCCACCTTTTCAGAGTCATGTTATTGAAACTTTCATGCTTCAGGGGTCAGGTTGCTGAGTGACACCCCCATACAGGCACCCTCCCCTAACATCCCCCCTCCCGCATTCTCTCTAACTCTAACTGCCTGCTTTGAAACCCTGGCCACAGCCACCTTCTTCAGAGGTCTCTGGGATCCTCATGCCCCAGCCCTTCCCCCCAGGGCCACTTCCTCCCATGCGCTTCCCTACCTTTTTTCTGGCTCCTTTCTGGCTCCTCTGCTTAAAGAACTAGATTCAGATTCACACGTCTGCTCAAAGGTCCCTGCTCCATGAGGCTTTCCCTGACCACTATTCAATCACATGTAATCACTCAGCCCCACGCACCCCCACATTCCAGTTCTTCTCACTCCGTTCTTCTTTCCCGAAGCACCGACTGCCTTTTAACCTACTAGAGAATCCACTTCCTATATTTATTGTCTATCTCAATCATTCTGTTTTGTTCACAGATGCAGTCCCAGCTCCTAGAATAGTGTCTGGCACAAAGAGGCCCTCAGTACATTTTGTTGAATGAATTAATGATCTCTGTTCAACTGAATATCTTTTTTTTTTTTAATATTTTATTGATTTTTACAGAGGGGAAGGGAGAGGGATAGACAGTTAGAAACACTGATGAGAGAGAAACATCAATCAGCTGCCTTCTGCACACCCCCAACTGGGGATGTGCCCGCAACCAAGGTACATGTCCTTGACCGGAATCGAACCTGGGACCTTTCAGATCGCAGGCCGACGCTCCATCCACGGAGCCAAACCGGTCAGGGCCAACTGAATATCTTGAGGGCAAGATTTAGGTCTCTGTTTAGCACACAGCAGGTTCTAAGTGAATTCTAAATCAAATTCATTCATCCAGCAAAGATGTACTGAGTATCTATGTACTTAGACCTGGAGGTGCATCAATGGACAAGCTATGGTATGAACCCCCCTCCCCTCCCCTCCCCTCAGAGTAGGGTCCTGTTCTCTTGTCCTCTTTTCAACCTATGTGCTCCATGGCTGCCCGTACCTTGCCAATTTTGCAGCTGGAGGTCCAGGGAGTGAGGTGGTCCTCTGCCTGACTCTGGCTGTCCTTCCAGCAGGCAACGGGCACAGGTTAGGTGCTGGCGCTGGCAGGCCACATGCAGGGCTGTGTCACCATGTCGGTCCTGTAGCATGCGGCTGGCCCCTTTCAGCACCAAGGCCTGGACTGTACCTGGCTGGTCCAGATGTACAGCCAGGTGCAGTGCTGTCTGTAGGCACAAACAGAGGGTTGCAGGGCCACTGCAGCATGCTCCCACCTCTGGGGACATGCTCGGGTGGGCACAGGAATTGACAACGGCCAGCACCAGCCTTGAGGGCAGCTTACAGAGGCTACGGCCCTGCTCTTCCAAGGCCACATTACCCAGCCCTTCCCTCTGTTGTCCCCCACCAAGCTCTTGGGACCCCAATCCTGGAGGCAGGGTGAGGGAAGTGGCCCCCTGCTCTTCTTGAAGGTTCTCTTAGCCCCTGGAGAAAGCACAGATGGAGTCAGGGTCTACCTTCTCATCCTCTAGGTGCCGTGGTGGGCAAACTGCGGCTCAGGAGCCACATGCGGCTCTTTGGCCCCTTGAGTGTGGCTCTTCCTAAGCCTTAGGAGTACCCTAATTAAGTTAATAACAGTGTGCCTACCTATATAGTTTAAGTTTAAAAAAGTTGGCTCTCAAAAGAAATTTCAATCGTTGTACTGTTGATATTTGGCTCTGTTGACTAATGAGTTTGCCGACCACTGGTGTAGGGGAACCTCTGTTATCCCCAAGCGCTAGGTGGCAGAGAGGGGCTGGGGAGAAGGAAGAGGCACCAGGCAGGCTCCACCTGGCACACTCCTCTTTAAGGCTCCATGCAGATGCCACCTCCATATTAACCCTTCCCTGGCTGCTCCCCACACACAGTGGATCCCACAGCGGCTGGTAGGTGCCTCCATCACAGCTCTTGTCACCATGCTGTGTAATTATGTGTTGACATGAGTCCCTAGTCCAGGCTCAAGCACCCTGTGGGCAGAGGCTGTGTCTTACTCATGTCTGTATCCTCAGCCTCTAGCTCAGTGTCTTGCATATGGTTTCCTGAGGAAGCAGCCTAAGGTCACCCGTGTGGCTGCTCGGGGTGGCTGCCAGGGCAGACGTGGGTATCTGGACACAGCCTACCCTTCCACCCACCTGGTAAAGGTTGTTCTGAATGTCCAGGACCTCCTGGGGCAGCAAAGTCAGGCAACAGAGCAGCACAGCTGGGGCCTCATGAATCACCGCCAGGTGGACCAGCCTGGAGGGCAGGGCAGGGGTTAGTGTCAGGACCCAGGTCAGGAGAGTGGGCTGGGGTCCTGGGGTTAGAAGGAACACATCTCTAAGAAGCCACCCACAGGGTAGGTGCAGGAAGTGAGCATTTGGGCCAGGAAGTGAGGGTTAGTGTGGGAAACCAGATTCCTGGGGGTGGAGGCTCCAAGTGCCCATCTCTGGCCTTCAAGAAGGGCCTTGGCTCAGTGGGAGTGCGGGCAGGGTGCCCACGGGCCCAGGAGCTTCCTGTCCCACACCCCACTCCCCTCCCGCCCCAGGGCCCCACCAGACCAGCTGCAGCTCCAAAGCCAAACTGAAAGCTGCTGGGGTCGTGCAGAGGTGGTTTCCAGACTGAGCTCCCCACATACCCCCAGCCCAACAGGGAGTACAGAGACGGCAGGAGTGGGGGCACCTCCCCCCCCAACTCAATGTCGCACATGCCAAGGGAGAGTAAACAGAAGCTCTTGAATGAGGAGCAAGGAGTGCAACATCCTGTCCTGCCCCCCCCCCCCCCCCCCCGGGGGGAATGAGTCTAGAGGGCCCCTCTTCAGACAGCCAGGCTGGGTGGGTCTGGGCAGAACCCTCCACTCTGTGTGCACCTCCCAGGGGAGGTCTGTGCAGCGTAAAAAGTGTGTGTTTGTTGGGGGACAAAGAGCCTTAACCTAGGGGTGGGAGGACAGCTGGGAGGGGAAGTTCCAGTCCTGGGGTTTCCCCACATCAGGTGGGGAAAATGAAAGCCAGAGCTGGAGGGTCTCGGCCAGGACAGCTGCCTTGGGACGCCAGTGACTGGGGGGAGCTTGGCTAAAGGCCTGTCTGGGCTGGGGAGGGGGCTGCGCGGGCAGGAGCGGGGCAGGCTTGGCTGCGGCAGCGGCAGGAGAGAGTGACGAGGGAGGGAGGAACCGCTCTGGAAATCCCCTCGGCCAGGACCAGCTCTCTGGGTCACATTCCTGCAGCCACCTCCCTCTCTCCCTCAGTCTCCCCTCCTCCCACTTCCTCTTCCCACTTCCATTTGCCCCACACCCCAGACACTTCCGAGGGAAGAGACTCCACTGGGGAGTCCTGCCACCTCCCCCTGCCCGTTCTAGACACACCTGTCTCCAACCAGAGGAGGGAAAGGCTGGGCTGAGAGGCTCACAAAGGAGGGCAGCACCAGAAGTCCCCACCCCCTGGGTCAAAGGTCAGCCATAGGTATTCCACCTGGAGCTCCCACTCCCTGGGTCAAAGGTCAGCCATGGGTATTGAACACGGAGTCCCCAAAATCTTGGCTCTGGGCCTGAGGGCTGATGATTTGGGCACAGAAGGCACACAGTACAAAAGGCCTGGGGTCACGCCTCTCCTGCCCACTGGGTCTCTTTGTCAAAGGTCACCTAGGATTATGACCCTTGCATTTCCATAAAGCAGGTAAGGACAGGCATTTCCTGCTCCTTCCACATCCTTCCTACCCTGTTCAACATCCCTGATCTGGGACCCCAGCTCCCTCCACTCTGTTTCTAACCCCCAAATCCCAGCCACCCCCTCTCCTAACAGTGTTTTTTCTTCCTGAGGGGCAAGTCCTCAACTGGCCTGACCTTTTGCACTGCTGCCTCTTACTCCAACTGCTTCCTACCCAGTCCCCGCAAGATCCACCTGGGCCTGGGGAGAAATGGACAGGCAAGGGGGTCAGGCCAGACAGCGAGGAGGACTGGGGGGACTTTGGGAGATGGAAGGTGTCGGTAAGGCTGACTCCAACCCTCACTTCCCCTTTCTCAGCAGAGGAGGAAGTAAGCTGCAGCAGCCAGCCGCTTATCAGTCTGCTGGGGCGAAGGTGCCCCAACCTGGCTCACCCCCTCCTCCTCAGGGCCAGCCTTAGCTCTGTACCCTGGCCATACCCCCACCCCTAGCTTCCTGGCCTCCATTGGCAACCTGTAACTGGCATCTCTTGTTCCTTGAGACAAGGCATTCGGAGGTCAGGGGCTGGGAATTCCAGATATTGCGCAAGCAAGGATGCCCTCTCCCCCAGCAAGAAAAAAACAAAAAAAAACCTGGACTGGTCAGGGGAATTTTCTCTTCCTGGCGGTGGGTTATTGGTAGGTTTCCAAGATTCTAGGTGCCTGGTATGGGCCCTGCCAGCTCTGCCCACCTCCAAAAGGGAGGGCAGAGGTGATTCCCGGTCCTCCGGTCTGGGCCTGGCTGGAGCTCAAAAGCGAGCAAAGAGTTAAGTTTGGAGTTTGGAGGAGAGAGTGGAGAATGCCACTTCCAGGGCAGGTGCCGTGAGGATCATGACAGCGGGGGTGCTCCTGGGGAGGCCCCGAGTTCGCATCGGGACGGGGTGCAGCCCCAGCCTCGCCCCCGTACTCACGTGTCTCCGTCCTCCGAGATGTAAGTGAGCGCTTCCAGCTGCTGCGGGCTCAGCGGCCCAGCTGCGGGGAGCGGCGAGCCTGGGGGTGGGTTCTCGGCCTCAGGGCCCCCCCAAAAGGTCAAAGGCTCGGTGAGCGACGAGGAGCCGTAGGTGGAGTCAGCCCGCTCCCCATCTGCGTCTTCCTTGTCCTGCGGCTCTTTGGCGGTTCCCGGAGGATGGGTCCAGGGCTGGGGGCCTGCGCCGCCCGGGGGCCGGGAGGCGGAGGCCGGGGCGGTCTCGGGCAGGGAGCGCAGGGAGCGCAGGGACTCGATGCCCGAGTCGCACTGGCTCTCGTCCGACTCGTCCGTCCCCTTGCGCGCCTCCGACATGCCCGCGGCACCGGCCCGCGGGGGCCCCGTCCCGGCAGGAGCTGGCTGCGGGCGCCGCCGCGCCGCCTTTCCGGGTTGCAGGTCCGTCTTGCGGAGCGGGCTCCCGGCCTGAAGCGGCCTCCTTCCCGGGCTGCTGGGGTCCGAGGAGTCGGCGAGAAGCGTGGGAGAGGCTCGGAGCGCCGGTGGGTCCGCCGCAGAGGTTACTCAGGAAGCCGGGATGCCCAGTCTGACGCGCTCTCCCGCCCCGCCCCTCAGGCCCCGCCCCCCGACAGGCGCTTCCGGGCACAGGCCCCGCCCTCCGGAATCCCCCGTACCCCGCCCTCTGCGTTGGCTCCGAGTCCCGGGTTACCCGGTCCTGACTCACTGGTGCGTTAATTCACCCATTCATCATCCGTCAGTCCGTCCATCCATCCATCCATTCATCCATCCATCCATCCATCCACCCATCCATCCACCCATCCATTTATCCAATCACCTCTCCATCCATCCATTCATTCATTCATTCACTTTCCCCCCTTCCTTTTCCATTCATGATCCCATGCATTCTTTCCCTTCCTCCATTCCCTCACTCATTGTTTCCATTCATTCGTTTATTCATTCGTGTGTTGTTAAAGAAATATTTATCAATTGTACAAACTAGACTTCTTGCGGGGGTGGGCATGTGGCTGGTGGGATGGGGTGCACTGCTTCCTATCTCCTACCTATTTCCATTTCTCTTGCTTTCTCATTTACCAGTGCCCAGGAGTTTGGGTAGGGAAAGGGGATATCTATTGTCTTTATTTTATTTATTTTTTTAAATATATATTTTATTGATTTTTTACAGAGAGGAAGGGAGGGGGATAGAGAGTTAGAAACATCAATCAGCTCAGCTGCCTCCTGCACACCTCCTACTGAGGATGTGCCCGCAACCAAGGTACATGCCCTTGACCTGACCGGAATCGAACCTGGGACCTGGGACCTTTCAGTCTGCAGGCCAACTCTCTACCCACTGAGCCAAACTGGTTAGGGCTCCATTGTCTTTAAAGGAGTGGTCCTCCCTTTGGGTCCTGGGTAGAGGGTCTCCTGTGTCAGCTCCCCAGATCACATAGAATTGGGCATGAGGATGTGCTTTTCAAAACTGGGTTTTCTCAGGCAGACTGTTGTCTAAATGAAGGAGGTTGGTCATGCTTTTTTGTTGTTTAAAAGAGCAAAGTGGCCCTGACCGGTTTGGCTCAGTGGATAGAGCATCGGCCTGTGGACTCAAGGGTCCCGGGTTCGATTCCGGTCGGGGGCATGTACCTTGGTTGCGGGCACATCCCCAGTGGGGGGTGTGCAGGAGGCAGCTGATCGGTGTTTCTCTCTCATCGATGTTTCTGACTCTCTATCCCTCTCCCTTCCTCTCTGTAAAAAATCAATAAAATATATTTTTAAAAAAATAAAAATAAATAAAAGAGCAAAGTGCACCCACTGGTGTGGCTCAGTGGTTGAGCATCGACCTATGAACCAGGAGATCATGGTTTGATTCCTGGTCGGGGCACATGCCTGGGTTGCAGGCTCATGCAGGAAGGAGGCAGCCGATCAGTGATTCTCTCTCATCATGGATGTTTCTCTCTCTCTCTCTCCCTCTCCCTTTCTCTCTGAAATCAATAAAAAATATTTTTAAAAAATTAAAAAGCAGAGTGGTCATTCTTCACAGGGTGAAACACTGGCCTCTGTGGTTACAACATCTGGTTACCCCCATCTATCAGGGAAGATTACTTCCTCGTGGTGGGGCCAGGATGGGGAGGCCCCAGACACATTGGGCCACTCTCTGCCGGGGTGGCCGCCCCAGCTCCAGCCCCAGTGCCAACACATCTTTCCTCCTTCCCTATCCCTGCTTTCCCTGGGCCCAGGGAGGCCTTAGGCAAACCACACCCACACGTTGAGGTGCAAACCAGTGCCTCATGATTTACCCCCTACCCCAAGTGCCATCAGCCATGGACCAACAATGCCTTTTGAAGATCATCCACAAAGGAGCATCTTTTCTGTCTCTGGCAGAACGCTGGGCTGCGTGTAGACAGCTACTAACCAGCTTCCCTCCTGCCCTCTCCCATACAACCTCATTTTATTCATCCATTTGACAAACATGTGGAGCTTCTCCTACATGTACGACACTGTTCTCTCTGCTGGAAGCAAAACTGAGTATCACAGTAACTAATTCATATCCACCAACCACCAACCCCACCGAGCCCCCTGGCAATTACAACACAGTGACTGTGCTAAGACAGGAAGAGGGTGGTGTGGGGGCACACAGTGGGGAGAGGGGCAGGGAAGTTTCCATTTGAACTGGAAATGGGAAGGAAGGGGGTCTGGGGAGGAGGGAAGTACCTAGTCTCTGGGAGGAGGGGATTAGTAAGGAGAGAGGAGAGGGGGGAGAGCAGATGAGAGGAGGTGACCTACTCCTCTCCATCCCCCTGGAGGACCAGAGAGGGAGAATGTGCTGAGTATGAGGCTGTAAGAAGCCATGAGGGAGAAGCCCAAGGAAATTAAGGCATCTCCTTGCATGGGGTCAGTGCAATTTCAGATGTTTCCAACTTCTTCCCCTGACCCTTTCCTCTCCCATCCTCAAAAGCTGGAGTAAAAGTATAGTCATAAACCCCAGACCCAGACCACTTGGGTTCAAAATCTGGAACTATCCCCGTTTTAAAGTTGGGAAGCCGGGGCCCAGAGGGGTGAGTTGTTGACTTTCCTAAGATCAAACGAAGTGCAGAGCCAGGCCCTCCTGCCCCTAATCCAAAACTTAAAATTGTTTCCAGTGAAATTTTTTTACCTTTTCTAATTTTTTTCCTTTATGAATGCCTACAGGGCTTGGGGCATATGAGCCCTTTGCAAGAACAGGAGAACTCGGGAATGTTCAGTGGCCCCATCCCTCATTCATACAGAGGTTGAATTTAAGGAAAAACCTACTCCTTTTCAGCCCCATGTCTGGCTCTGAACCATAACAGGTGTGTGGCAGTCCCTTTTTTGGCCACATGAGGTCAGCGTTGAGTCACTCACTGCTTCCAGCATCTAGCCTACACTCCGGCAGGAAGCCCTTCTGGGGAAACTTCAGGAATGGGGAGAAGGACCATGCAGTACCATCTGGAAAGATGGTCAAGGGACTTTGACTGTGGTCAGGGCCCCGACTTTGTTTCCTCAGCTCCAGTCTTCGAGGCTGGGCCCCTCTGATCCTTTCTCTTTATCTGTTGGTGTTTTCTAGTTCTCTTAGTTGTTCTCCCACTCCCAGCCTCCACCCACTCCAGCCCTGCTCATCTTCAGGAAGCAGCCCCAGTTGCCATGGTGACCAGCTGGTCAGCTGGCTCCTTCTGTGCCCCCTCCCTTCACCCCTCTTTTCCCTGGGCTTTCAAGGAAAAGTAATGTGTGTGAATGGATGGGGGGGGGCGTGTTTTTTAAAATCTCTTAGGAGCTCTGGGTTTGGCCAAAAGGAGTTGGGCTATCTCTCTTTCACAGCCCCCCCCCCAGGTGAGGAAGGGAAGGCCGTGGAGGTGGGGGACAGGAGGAAGGGTATAACAACTAACGGGAGGGTGAGGTTTTGATCTGGGTTAGGAAAGGTCAGGGTCAGGACCTCTGCTCTGTCTACAGCGAGGACAGAACGAGGTGGAAGGGGATGAAACCAGAAGCGGAAGGGTCAAAGTTAGCTGTGAGGCAGGACTTTCTAAAAAGCATGGGCGGGAGACATGGGAATGAGTCGCCAGGTGAGATTTCTCCTCTGCCACTGGAGGGAAGGAGAACCCTGCCTCTTCAGGGCACACCCTTCGCTGTGTGGGCAGGGAGGAGGAGGATCATGCAGGCTGGGTAGTTCTGAAGCAATTGGCTGACAGAGAGTCACCTCCACCTCGCCGGGTAAGGCAACAGTAGGAAAATGGAGGCAGGACCAGGAGTGGGGGTGAGTGTGTAGAGAGTGGAGGCAGTGCCCCTTCTGCCCCAGCAAGTGGTGGGACCACCCCAGAGATCAGTGTGCTTGTTCTCTATCCCCAAAGATCAGATATCCAGGCTTTGCCTCAAGCTAACTTCCTACTCCCAGATATCCCCACGGACTTTGAATGGGGAAGATCCAGATTCGAGCTCTGTGACTATTACCTTGAGTAAGTCACTCACCTTCCCTCTGCCTCAGTTCCTAAAAGGTAAGCGGGGCAACAGCTACTATATGTCAAAGACTCCAATATAGCACATGACAGACCGTAGGATTCCACAGTGACTGCACACAGATTGATCATGTTCTGTCATAATGATGGGTTTCCAGGTCCCCCCTTCCCATTAGACTGTGCTCCTGGAGGGTAGGACTTGTGTGTTTCACTTCTGAAAGGGCGCACAGTAGGTACCTAATACCTGTTTATTGAATGGGTGCACTCAGAAATGAATGGATGTCAGTTTCCTTTCTTCCTGTCCCAGGTGTGGCGGGAAAAAGAAGTGTGGGTGGGTGGCATAGGGGGGTAGGCTGCCTGCAGTCACTCAGCCTGGTCTATGGTCTGTGATTTTGCCTCCTACGCCCAGAGAAGGTCAGAGCCTTAGAGACTCGGGTCAAATTCCTCACTGCACAGACGAGACGAGGAAACAAAGGCTCAGAGAAGGGAAGGCACTTGCCCAAGGTCATACAACTTGTTAGTGGGAAAGCCAGGATTAAGAATTAGAACTCTGGCCCTGGCCGGTGCTCAGTGGTTAGAGCAACAGCCCATGGACCACAGGGCTGCAGGTTCAATTCCTGGTCAAGGGCAGGTACTTGGGTTGCAGGTTCCATCCCCACCATGATTGGGGTACATGCGTGCAGGAGGCAACCAGTCGATGTGTCTCTCTCACATAGATGTTTCTCTCTCTCCTCTCCCTCCCTTTCACTCTCTCTGAAAAAAATCAATGGAGCCCTAACCGGCTTGGCTCAGTGGATAGAGCGTCGGCCTGTGGATTCAAGGGTCCCAGGTTCGATTCCGGTCAAGGGCATGTACCATGGTTGCGGGCACATCCCCAGTAGGGGGTGTGCAGGAGGCAGCTGATCGATGTTTCTCTCTCATCGATGTTTCTAACTCTACCCCTCTCCCTTCCTCTCTGTAAAAAAATCAATAAAATATATATTTTTAAAAAATCAATGGAAAGGATATCCGTGGGTGAGGATTTAAAAAAAAATAGAACTCTGGTGTCCTGATCTCCAGCACAGGACAATGTACACACTTCTTTGCTTCTCTGGGGCTGTACTTCTAGGGAAGGAACATGGTCCGTGTAGGCTGGTTCCAGTGTCCTCTCTGCCCTCTGCTAGTCCTTTCTCGCGTACAGCTCCAAGCCTTTCCCTTCTGCCCTACTCCATCCAGGTTCAGTTGGGTCCGGCTCCTGCCTTATCCTTTACTACCCAACTGGGAATAAGAATCTTCCTACGGTTCCAAGACTCACTTTCATAGATCTTCCCAGGATGGTGTGTGTGTGTGTGTGTGTGTGTGTGTGTGTGTACACACGCGCGCCCCCGAGCATGGTTAGTAGGGCTAGGAGTGGGGAAGGGGTGCGGGGAGCCCCTGTTGCTTCTCCTCTTTGGGGGGTGGTTATTCGGTAGGCTTGGGGGAGGCGGAGTTTGGGGGGCTGGGGGCGGGGCTCCTGCGCTGGGAGGAAGAGGGGGGGCGCGCTGGCTTCAGCTCGGCTCAGACAAAAGGCGGCGGCGGGAGCGGGCGGGAGACGGAGCGGCGCCGCGCGGGCCTCAGGGTGACACCCGCCCCCGGCCCCGGCCCCCCCAGCCCGGCCCCCAGCCCGCCTGCCCACCCGAGGACCAAGACCTTTACCCCCGGGTGCCCTTTGCAGGTCCCTCCAGCCGTGTGGGGATGGGCAGGGCCGGGTGCCCGGTACCTGTATGCCTTTGACCCTTCTTTTCAAAGAGAGGTTTTTTATACAACTCGGGGTCCTTAAGGTAAGAGTATCAGTTGGTACATAGCTAAAGGGGGCATCTGTAAGGGTGTTTCGTAGAATGTTGCGTTCGGCAGAGAATAGGAAGGGTATGGATAGGGTCTAAATGTGTATTTATAGAGTTAATGG